TTTCGATGTTTTTTGTGTTCTGGCTTTTTCGGCTTCCGGACGCTCCAAGACGGCCCAAGAGGCCCCCAAGACCGCTCCAAGACGGCCCACGAAGCTCCCAAGACGGCGCCGAAACGACCCAAGAGAGCCCTCAAGACGGCCCAAGTGCCGCCCAAGACGGACCAAGAGGCCCCAAGACGGGCCCAAGAGGGACTCAGGAGGGATACCGAGAACTCAAAAATGGAGCCCTCCGTCCCAGAAGGCGCCCAGGAGGTCCCAAAGAGGCCCCAAGAGGCCTCCAAGAGGCCCCAAGATGTCGCCAAGAGGCCCCAGGAGACTCCCAGGAGGCCCAAAAGAAGCCCCAGAAGGCTTCAAACATGTCTCCCAGGCGCCCCCGAACGGCCTCTCAACAGACCCCAAGAGGCCCCCCAAAGAAGCATCTTGACGACGACTCTATTTCGCCCCATCGAGAGACGACCCCCAGGGAACTGCTTCACCATCAAAACTCCCCACGCAACGCGTCCGAACGACACCCGCCCCCAAGAGCGCAACATGGGCAACGAACACACAGACAAAAACCAGCGATGCCATATCACGGGCCGGCGGAATGAGCGAAGCGATTCAATAAAAACATTCCCCATATTTTCACATATTTCCTGGGTTTTCGTCTTCCCCCCCACTTCCCATATTCTCCCATATTTTCCTGGGGATCGCCGATTCATTGTGTCTGCGTGTGTTTTCCTCCTCCTGACCCCTGGCGACCCTGGCGCCCACCCGGCGGAAACCAGAGAGAGAGAGAGAGCATCCAACTACTCGAGAAGCTAAGCAAGAGCCCCTCAGTAAAGGCACTATGTAGTTTTTTTTCGCTCATGACCAATGTTCCCGACCGAACGACGCGTCCCAGGCACCAAAAGAACTCCTCAACGAGATGGCGACTGGGTCTGGTGCGACGTCCGTCCACGGTGGGCGCGAGGAGGAGGAGGAGGAGGAGGAGGAGGAGGAGGAGGCGCGCTCGGAATGTCTCTATCACGTCCAGCTGGCGCGCATCTGCGTAGGGAAACAGGTGTCTGCGTATCTGCGGAAGGGGGTGGGGTTGGTATTCGGGACAGCCTGAGGAGGAGGAGGAGGAAAAGGAGGGAGGAGGGAGGAGGAGGAGGAGGAGGAGGAGGAGGAGGAGGAGGAGGAGGAGGAGGGAGGGGGAGGAGGGAGGAGTGAGGAGGAGGAGGGAGGAGGAGGAGGAGGAGGAGGAGGAGGAGGAGGAGGAGCAGGCGGCGCCTCTTGGTGTAGGTGATGAGCAGCGCCGAGTAGTCGGCCTCGCCCTCCCGCTGCGGCCGGAAGGTCTCCAGCACCTGTGCAGGCTCACCCGTCGTCCCTCTCCTCCCGGTGGGCATCATCATCATCATCATCATCATCATCATCATCATCATCATCATCATCATCATCATCATCATCATCAGCATCATCATCATCATCATGAGCATCATCATCATCATCATAATCAGCATCATCATCAGCATCATCATCCTCATCATCATCATCATCAGCAGCATCATCATCATCATCATCATCAGCAGCAGCAGCAGCAGCATCACCATCATCGGCAGCATATTCATCAGCATCAGCATCAGCAACATCGTCAACGTCATCATCATCATCATCATCATCATCATCATCATCATCATCATCATCACCATTATCATCAGCATCATCATCATCAGCAGCAACAGCATCATCATCGTCATCATCATCATCATCATCGTCAGCATCCTCATCATCATCATCATCATCATCATCATCATTAGCAGCATCATCATCATAACCATCATCATCATCAACATCATCAACACCAGCAGCATCATCATCAGCATCACCATCAGCATCAGAATTAACATCGTCATTACCATCAGCATCATCATCATCAGCATCACCATCGTCGTCATCATCATCAACATCATCCTCATCATCATCGTCAGCAGCATCAGCATCATCATCAGCAGCATCAGCATCATCAGCATCGGCATTATCATATGGATCATCATCATCAGCAGTATCATCATCAGCAGCATCAGCATCATCATCATCATCATCATCATCGTCATCGTCGTCATCATCATCAGCATCCTCCAAATCATCGTCATCATCAGCATCCTCAGCATCATCGTCATCATAGTCAGCATCATCATCATCATCATCATCATCATCATCATCATCATCGGTTTCAGAATCATCATCGTCATTATCATCAGCATCGTCATCATCATAATCATGGTCATCATCATGAACAGCATCATCATCATCGTCAGCATCATCATCATCAGCATCCTCATCATCATAATCAACATCAGAATCACCAGCAACATCATCAAACTCAACATCAACATCGTCATCGGCATCTTCATCATCAGCGTCAGCATCATCAACATCATCGTCATCATCATCAACATCGTCACCAGCGTCCTCATAACCACCATCATCACTATCATCGGCATCATAAACATCACCAGCATCATCATCATCATCATCATTATCAGCATCATCAGCATCATCCTCAGAATTTGCAGCATCATCATAATCATCATCATCATCATCATCAGCATCAGCATCAGCATCATCATCATCATCACCAGCAGCATCATCAGCAGCAGCACCATCATCATCAGCATCAGCATCATCATCATCATCATCATCATCATCATCATCATCAGCATCATCATCGTCATCATCATCATCATCATCATCATCGTCAGCATCATCAGCATCGTCAGCAGCCTCATCATCCAAGTCATCATCATCAGAATCATCATCATCATCACCACCATCATCACCATCATTCTCAGAATCCGCATCATCATCATCATAATCATCATCAGCATCAGCAGCAGCCTCATCCTCACCATCATCAACATCATCATCACCAGCAGCATCATCATCAGCATTGGCATCATCATCAGCAGCCTCGAAGTCCTCATCATCATCAGCAGCATCATCAGTACCAGCATCAGCTCCAGCATCAACATCGTCATCGTCATCATCATCAGCATCATCATCGGCAGCATCATCATCAGCACCATCACCATCAGCAACATCGTAATCATCATCAGCATCATCATCATCAGCATAAGCATCAGCATCATCATCAGAATCATCATCAGCATCATCATAATAATCATCGACATTATCAGAACCACCACAACTAGTCACCACCACCACCATCACCATCATCAGCAGCACCACCACCACAACCATCATCACCACCACAATCATCATCACCACCACAATCAGCATCACCATTATCACCATCATCATCATCATCATCATCATCATCAGCATCAGCATCAGCATCGGCAACATCATCAACGTCATCATCATCAGCATCAGAATCAGCATCATCCTCAACCTCAGTATCAGTATCATCATCAGCATTAGCATCATCAGCATCAGCTCGTCATCATCATCAGCAGCATCAAAGCCTTCCTTTCAATATCATCATCATCAGCATCGTCATCATCATCGTCATCATCGTCTTCATCTTCATCCTTGCTCGCTCCTGGACCCGAGGAGGGATGGAGTGATAGGAGCGAGGAAGCGCGTGGGAGGGGACCACCGCTCTTGCGGGGAGGGCAGCGCGTGGCCCGATCCCGCCACTGCCCTGCCCGCTCGCCCACTCAGATGCAGGGCCACTGTGCGGCAGGTTCGTGTCGTGTCGACCCCAGAGATGGTCCCTGACTCCGCGGGGATCGCTCAACCTTGAACGATCAGCCGTTTCCGAAACGTCCACATCGTTTCTGGGTCGCCCGCGGCGTTCAACGTTGAACGCCGCTGGAGGGGTCGCCGCTGGTCGACACGACACGAACATACCGCGCCCCTGTGCCTGTGCCTGCGTGCTTCCTCTCTGTGTGGGAACGTCACGCTCTCCATAGCAGAACCATCGAGATCCAAGAAACCCGGGGCTCCCTGGTTGCAATCGGGGCGTTCCTTGGCACAGGCTCCCGCCGCACCCGCTTGCAAGCGACGGGCGTGGGTGGCTTCTGCCCACGACCTCCCCCCACGAGCCCCGTCGCCGAAGGTCCAGTGGCACCGTGGAGGCACTAGGGGGAAACATGCGAACCCTGCCCCTGCCCCCCACCGAGTTCTGAGGGGGAGGGTGGGGTTCACTTCGCTCGGGAGCTCCCGAGCGAAGTGAACCCTACCCCTCCCCCCCAGAAATCGGTGGGGGGCAGGGGCAGGGCTCGCATGTGGCCCCCCAGGCGCGCGGAGCAGCACGAGCACGCGGCCTCCTCGCAGGCGGCGGCGGCGTCGCCGCGGGGCAGGCCAGGACGCGGCAGGCCGGGGCGCGGAGGCGCGGAGGCGCGGGAGGCGGCCGCGGGGAGGCCGAGCGAGGCGGCCGCGGGGGGGGGGGGGGGGCGAGCGCGAGGCGGGGCACGCGCCCAGACCGCCCAGAGAGCAGAGAGCACTCCCCGAGGGGGAGGGCACCGACGGGAGCAGCGAGTGCGGTCGGGCCTGGGACGGGAGAGCAGCCTGCAGGGACAGGATTGAAGGGGCCCCAGGACACACAAAGAAATACACACACAAATAAAAAAAGACTCCCCACATTTTCCCATGTGTTCTGGGTGTCTGTCTTTCCCCCCCACGTCCCATAGTTTTCCATATTTTCTGGGGAATGGACGATGAATTGTGTCTGTGTGTTCTTTCCCCTCCTGAAGCGTTCGAGGGTGTCCTCCCCCAGGATGCACAAGAAGATCCAACAAGCACGAGGAGCATCAGGGCACGCTGTCGGAACGGACCTCGATGTTATACCTCGGCCCGACTGTACCACAGGCCTCAGACAAAAAAAACAGCGAACACTCGTACCACATTCATCGGTCAACGCCTCCCCTACCCCCCCCAATGTTCAAAGTTGGCGTTGGGTCTGATGAGTGGCACTTCTTCCGCAGTCTCCTCCGCGCGTGCCAACTTTGAGTTTGGGGGGGAGGGCCAGGGCGAGAGTCCACAAATTGCTTCCCTCTACCGTGGGATACCCCTCCAGAGCTGGGGCTGCCGCCCGACCCTCGCGCCAGGGCTTGCAAAAGCGCTGGGCGCCCCCGGACGGTGCGGTGACACGCCGTGCAGTGACCTCGGAACTCTCACAGACCTGACCGCACGGCCCGCCACCGCACGACTCTGGGACCCTGGAGGCCCCCCTCGACGGATACATCAACGAAGAACGGCTCCAGGCCTAAAACCGCACCGTCACACGGAATCCGCACTGACTCACCGCATGGTGTGGTCGCAACGCCACTTTGGGGCCCGAGAGGGGCCCGGCGCCTGCTTCTGCACCTCCGGGGAGGAGTTCTCCAGGTAGAGGTGGGCGGCCTCGTCGTGCGGGAAGCGCCCTCTGAACTCCTGGTACTCCTGCGGCCGGACGCGGCGGCAAGCGCGGCCCAGTCGAGGCCACGCTTGCCACACCCGCAGGGTGGGCCACGGCGGCAGCAATGATGGCGGCGATCAGTCGGCAGTGCAGCGGTGGCGTGCATGCATGGATGGTGTGGTCTATGTGGCTACGGCCGCAACCGCGCAGTCTCATTTGCAGATACCCTGGAGCACGAAAGCATCGCAGCAGGTAACTACATGCTCAAGCTGGGTCAGGGGTACGATCATGCGCGTGCCTATAGATACTGGTCATTAGATGTAGCTTCAGTGAAAACGTGAATATCGGAGGTAAAGGAACGAGATCGCAGTGAAACGGAGAGCCCCCATCCGAGAAATCGGTTTCGTTTTCGTGTTCGTGTCGTGCGTGCGGGCGAAGCGAAGCTGCGTGGGCGGGCGAGACGAATGAACCCTCCTTTGGCTAGGATGCTACCAGACCAAAAAAAAACGCTACCTCCAGATTGTCCAGCTGTGGCCGGGGGTGTCCCGCCGGTGTCCCGCCGGTGACCCGTCGGTGTCTCGTCGATGACCCGTCGGTGTCCCACCGGTGTCCCATGGTATGATCGATTGTGAGATCGATGGTAAGGCCGATCGTGAGATCGATAGTGAGATCGACAGTGAGATCGAGAGTGCGATCGATAGCAACATCGATAGAAATATCGATAGTGAGATCAGTAATGAAATTGATACTGGGGACAGTAGTGAGATCGAAAATGTGATCGATAGTGAGATCAATAGTGAGATCGATGGTGAGATCCATAGTGAAAAAGATGGTGTGATCGACTGTGAGATCGATAGTGACATCGATCGAATGACATCGATTGTGATATTAGAAAAAGATCGGTAAATATGCCGCGTTGGTGTCCCGTCGGTGCCCCGTAGTGAGATCGATCGCGACATTGATAATAAGATCGATTGTGAGACCGATAGTGAGATCGACTGTGAGGACATTGGTGGTATCGATAGGAGAAAGATAACAAGATCGATAGTGAGATCGGTAGTGAGACCTGTAGTGAGATCGACGGTGACACCGATCGTGCGATCGACAGCGAGTTCGATAGTGAGGTCGACAGTGAGATCGATAGTGAGATCGACATACATATCGATGGTAAGATCGATAGTGAGATTTATACTGAGGCGAGCAGTGAGATCGAAAGTGTGATCGATAGTGAGACCAATAGTGATATCGATGGTGAGATCAATAGTTCAAGAGATAGTGCAATCGACTGTGAAATTGATAGTGGGAGCGATAGCGAAATCGATCGAATGACATCGACAATGATATCATAATGAGATCGATAAAGATGCCCCGTCCGTGTCCCGTCGGTGACACGTAGTGATATGGATTGTGAAATAGGTAATGGGATCGATAATGAGACTGATAGTGAGATCGACTGTGAGATCAATGGTGGTATCGATAGGAGCTCAACAGTGAGATCGATAGTGAGATCGATGATGAAAACGATAGTGAGATCGACACTAAGAACGACAGCGAGATCGATCGTGAGATCGATAGTGAGATCGATAGTGAGATCGATAGTGAAATCGATAGTGGGATCGATAGTGAGATCGGTAGTGAATTCGATTGAGTGAAACGTTGGTTTCTTCCCCAAACCTCCTCGTAAAGGTCGGAGGGCGAGGGGTGAAGTCGCAGTGAAACGGACGGCCCCTAACGGGGAGATCGGTTTCGCTTTCGTGTTCGTGTCGTGCGTGCGGGCGAGGCGAAGCTGCGTGAGCGGGCGAAAGGAATGAACCCTCTCCTGGCTAGGATGCCGCCAGACCAAAAAAACGCCACCCCCAGATTGTCCAGCTGTGGCTGGGGGTGTCCCGCCGGTGTCCCGCTGGTGTCCCGTCGGTGTCTCGTCGATGCCCCGTCGGTGTCACACCGGTGCCCCATGGTAAGATCGATTGTGAGATCGATGGTAAGGCCGACGTGATCGTGAGATCGGTAGTGAGATCGACAGGTTAGACCGCCCCCCCCAGGTTGTCCGGCGGAAGCCGGATTAAGCCCCGTGGTATTCCGTGGTGTCCCGTCGGTGGCTCGTCGGTGGCCCGCCGTCGGTGTCCCAGCGGTGTTCCGTCGGTGTCCCGTCCGTGCCCCGTCGGTGCCCCGTCGGTGTCCCGTCGGTGCCCCGTCGGTGTCCCGTAATGCGTTCGATTGTGATATCGATAGTGAGGTCGACAGTGACACCGATAGTGAGATCGGTTCTGAAATCGATCGTGAGATCGATCGTGAGATCGATAGTGAGATCGATTGTGAGATCGATAGTGATATGAATAGTGAGTTGGATAGTGGGATCGATAGCAAGATCGATAATGGCGAAATTGCGAATAAGATCGATGGCAACATTGCAGGATCGATAGTGAGATCGGCAGTGAAATCGATAGTAAGTTCGACAGTGAGCGTGATAGTGAAATCCGTACCGAAATCGATCGTGAAACCGATCGCAAGATCGATCGTGAGGTCGACGGAATGAGATCGATAATTGGTACCCCGTCGGTTTCCCGTACAGAAATCGATGGTGAGATCGATGGTGAGATCGCTAGCAAGGTCGGTAGGGAGATCGCGAGATAGTGAGATCGACAGTGAGATCGAGCATGAGCTCGAGCATGAGATCGAGTTCGGGTGTCAAGGGGGTTGGGGGGATGGAAAAGAAGCAACTGCTGCCAAATGCGATGGGTGTGATGATGACGGTCCGTGACGCCGCTCGAGTTAACGATGCCGCGTGCTGACGATGTTGCGCTGCGGTGTATTGTCACTATCGCCCCCGCATTATATATCACAACCAATGTCACAACCAACCTCGCTCTCGATCTCACTTTCGACCTCACTAGCGATCCCATGATAGCGATATCTCACGATCGATATCACTGTCGACTCCACTACCGATGCCATCGACACCAGGGCGGGACCCCCCCGGCCACCTGGTCCTGGTCCTGGTTGTGCCAGGCGCCTGCACGGCGCATCAGCAGGGCGAGAATGCTTGACAAGACGCCAAGGGCGAAAGGGTCCGACCAAACGCCGACGGCGAGAGGGCTCGACCACACGCCGAGGGCGAGAAGGCTCGGCCAGACGCCGAGGGCGACAGGCCACGACCCCCCCGGCCACCGCCCGACGTGAGCGCCGACGGGAGCACCGACGGGACACCACCAGGGCACCGCGGGACACCACGGCAGAACACTTTTTTTGTCTCGCGGGTCGAGAGAGCGCACCTCTTCCGGTCGGAGCTGAGCGGGCCGCGCGAAGCTCGAATTAACAAAGAGGGGGGAAGGGAATGAGCGCAGACCGCGTCGCCATCGTCCTCGGCCTCGTCGATGCTCTCAGGCCACAAGCCGGCGGGCGGGCGGGTGCCCGACGGACAGCCCCCCCCCGTGGCCGCCCGCGAGGCCCACGAGGCCCGAGCAGGCGCACGCCTCGCGCTCTCGCCGCCGCCGCCGCCGGCCGAGGAGGCCTCCGCCGGCGCGCCCGCGGGGCCGAGGTGGGCTCTCCATCCCCCGCCCGCGGCCGCGGCGAGGCGGCACACCCCCGGGGGGCCACCGCGCGCCCCCCCCTGGGGGGGGAGGCCACGGGGGGGGGGGAGGCGGGGCGGCACCCGCCGCCATTCAGAGGCCGACTGGAGGGCGACGTGTCGGGGCAAACGCGGCAGGGGACCTGTTACTACAGCACACGCAGCGCAAGCCTCGCCCCCGCACGCACGCACGAGGAAGAGCAATCCTCATCAGGAAGAAGAATAAAAACAAGTGAGGGACATTCAAGAAAAAGCGTAATCATACAACAAAAAGAAAAATCCCCCTCCCCCGACCGTTAATCCTCCTGCATACCCTCCTACTTACCTACCTACTCCGCCAACTACTCCTCATACTCATACTCACCTCCTCCTCCTCCTTGTCCACTGTCTCTTCCTCCTTCCTCCTCTTCGCCCTCCTCCTCCTCCTCCTCCTCCTCCTCCTTCTCCTCCTCCTGCTCCTCCACCATCCTCCCCCCCTCGGGGTATCGGAAACCAGTGTTCCACGAAAGGGCGGAAAGGAGGAAAAGGAGCAGGCAGGAGGAAAAGGGGCAGATGAGAGGGAGGCGGGCAACGACGGCGCTGGTTGCCAGCAGGACGGTGAGCAGGAGTAGGGACTGCGAGCGCTGGAGAACGACGATGCGCTCAAAACCTCGAAGAGAGGCTCGGTCGCTCCTCCTCCCCGAGGGCGAGGAGGGCGACGATGGGAAACACTCGGACGATATTTTGACGTGCTGGCCGAGCGACGGCAAGAAGAAGGCAGGGTGCCGCTGAGGGGCTCTCTGTTCCACTGCGACCTCACCCCCCCACCTCCGATGAAACCGGCTGCGAGATCGACAGTGAGATCGATGGAGTGAGGCGTCAGTTCCCCCATCCCCGAACCTCCTTACTCACCCGAATTGTGGTCATGCAGGCGCATGGTTGCGCGTGTGGTGCCACACGCTCGAACGCACCAGCCCCAGCATTCCCACTCCTGTCAGATCAGCAGCAGGGGAAAGCAAGCGAAGGGTGAAACACCGTCGCCAGCCGGAACAAATTCTATACGCCAGCGACGGTGGATCGCGCTCCCCCCGAAGATTCCAACGCTTCACCCCGCCTCTGCCTCCTCTGGCGCTGGCCTGGACAACTTTACGACGGGGGGGCAAAAACTCCGCGGGAGCCCCCGCTGAAAAAAAAACATCTGAATGGGGGGGGTCAGAGACCAAAGCACCACCACCCTGACCTCCCCCCCCCCCCAGCAAAGAACCAGGGGGTCCGAACCCCCTCCCCTCCCCGGGAAAATTGCGCCCCCGAGCAAAATTAGTCGAGGAGCACCCCCCCCGAACGACGACGACGGCGACCACGACGACAGCGACGACGACGCCTACGACGGGCGACGACGACGCCTACGACGGCGCCGACGACGGCGACGCCGTCGGTGGTGGCGGCGGCGCACCTGTCGCCAGGCTTGTTCCAGCCCAAAAGAGATCCGACGAGGGCTCGGTCCAGCCCTGATAGAATCCTGCTACTGGGGCTGGATCCAGCTCGAAGAAATCACACTTGGGTTCGAGCAAGTTCACCTCGAAACCTACAGAAGCTTGATCCACTTCAATATTTGCTAGGACGGGATCCAGCTCGCTCCACCCAGCGTTAACAACGTCCTTCTAGGGGCCGATCAAGCTTTCTCAGAATCCTATTAGGGCTCGACCTGGCTCTGATGGAATCCTACGAGGGCTCGATCCAGCTCTAACAGATTTGAAACCTACTAGGGCTGGATCCAGCTCTATATAGAATATTACGAAAGCTCGATCCAACTCGAATGCAATCCTGCTACGGCCACGTCTAGCTCTGCTAGAACCAGATCAGGGCACGGTCCATGTCTGAAGGAATTCCACTCAAGCTCGACCCAGAACGAATGCGATCCAGTATGCGAAATCTCGAAAGAATTGGATCCAGCTCTGATAGGTCCAACCAGATCTCTATCCATGTGTCATTGGATCCTACCAAAGATCGATACAACTCGAATATAATCATACTATGGCTGGGTCCAGCTTTGGTAGAAACCTTCCAGGGCTCGATCCAGCTCTCATGCATCCTAGTAGGGCTCGATCATCGTCTTCCTCAGCGTCAACGTGGGCGTCGTCGTCGTCTTCTTCGTCGTCGTTGGCGTCTTCGCCGGCGTCGTCGGGTTCGTTGTCGTCGTCGTTGACGCCGGCGGCGTTGTCGGCATCGTCGTCGTGCGTCCTGCGTCGTCGTCACCGCCGCCGTCGTCGTCGTCCGCGTCGTTTGCTGGCGGCAGCGACGTCTTCATCGGCATCGTCGTCGTCGTCGTTGCGGGGGGGGTCTGGACTCCTCGGAGAATTGTTCCAGGGTAGGGGTATCTGGACCCCCTCCCTTCCTCCTCCTCCTCTTCCTCCTCCTCCTCCTCCTCCTCCTCCTCTTCTTGGTCGTCCCAACGTGACCCACTTGCGCGCCGTTCCCGCTTATGTTGCCCTTGGCTCCCAGCGCACAAGTACAGCTTCTCACTGGGAGCCGACTGCAGTGGCCCGGCGTGTAGCCAAGGCCCAGGCTCTTCTTTAAGCCAGCGTTCATGCCCACGCACCGCTTGGTGTATGGCTTGTCAGCCGGTCAGGGGGGAGGCCAAGATTTTGGGGGGCGAGGGGGGTTGAAGCCCCCGCTGCCAGCAGCGGCAGAAAGTGCTCTTTCGAATAGAACGTACCGCCTCTACTCGCACTGACAGTGGGAGCTCAGTCAGAAGAAGGACGCCCGGCAAGGCTGCCAGGCCCCTGTGCAGGCACGGCGAGGACAGGCCGAGCGCAGAGGCGGACCTGGGCCAGAAGAACACTCGTCAAGAACATGAGACCCTCCGTC